CCTGCCCCAAATTCACGCTCTTCCTTTTGTACACTGTATCTGGATGCCTTCTGTTTCCGTGTATTTCTGACTTGTAAATCAAAAGCAACCCCTTATTTTCAACCCTTAAATCTCTCTTCCCTTGTTTTGCTTTTCACATTTGAATTCTTTTCTTTTCACATCATTAGACCTTGAAGTCCACTTTGGTTTTTGTTTCCCACTTCTTCAATTTTCCTTGGCGGGAACAGTGTGATTATGTGTTCTGAAACAGTTCGCCCTCGTTTCTCTTTTTCCCATGATGTCTCTGAGCTACTAAAGAAACAACCACGCAAAGACTCAATGCTTGTTAAGTCAAATCATGACTTTGAGTTCAGCACTAGCACAACCCTTGAGTTTGAATCTTCTTCAGCAGATGAGCTTTTCTCTAATGGGGTGATACTTCCCATTCAGATGCAACAAAAGAGAAACACCACTAGGAAACACACCCTTTGTGGTGAGGCTCCATATATGAGACTTCCTCCACTTCCAAGTGCCCCTAGCGTTGACAAACTGAAGAGAGAGAGCATTAGAGAAGGTCTAGATATGAATGGTGGTTATTGTGATAAGAGAACTCACTCCACCTCCTTCTGGGGGTTCAATAGAAGCAGAAGTCTCAATTGTGATGCAAAGAAAAGCTTGATGTGTAATTCACCTCCTTTGTCAAGGAGCAACTCAACTGGCTCAGTGCCACATCCAAAGAGAGTGAGTTCAACTAGAGCTAAGCCATTATCATCTTCAAGTTCCTCTACCTTAAATTTGTATCCTGTGCAAAGGTCTCATTCAGGTAAGGGTTATGGAGGATCTTATGCCAATGATCTTAGGATTAGTCCTGTTTTGAACCTACCAACTCCTTGTATTTCTAAAGGGAGTGCTCGTCTCTTTGGGTTGGGTTCTTTTTTACGTGTTGGAAAGGCCAAGAAAAGCAAGAAGTGATTTGTTCATATTAGCTCATGTCATAGTTTAATGATTAATCTTGGCTTACTAATTTGTTTATTCTGATCAGTGATCATACTAGAAAGGAGCAAGTAATGCAGGTTAATTAGCATGGTACTGAGTGAAGTTGATTGTGTTTATGTTTTCGTCAGGCTAATGATTTGGAGGGATAAAAAAATGTGATGATCATGCAGTTAATAGGGTACAGGCTTGGGGGACAGAACAATGGGAATCTGTTCATTGTTTATGCTTTGTCTCGTATTGTTTTCTGTGATGATTCATATTATAAATGGAAGCCTTGTGGCTAGTGATAGTTCAGATTAGCACTTGTTTATTTATGAGAATGCTTTTTTGTTTAACTAACATTTTGTCTTTAATTGCAAAACATATGACAACTAGTGGTGGCAGTTCCGTGGACAAACAAATTCTTGATGCAACTTTTCTTTTTGGAAAGTTTGTTGTCCGAATCTTTGTTAGCTACTAATTCAGCTAATCATGGGCTATCCTTTGGATTATCTAGTGGCATGTATAGGCTTGATGCATTTAATTTGGAAATATACTGAATCCTCCAAATTATGTGTTATTTGTGTCAAAAATGGTGAAATTCCATTTAATCATATGCTGCCTAAATACCTAACACATTAGAATTGGATTCCTATCACCACTCCGTTGTTCCAGCAGTTTGAACTTGGAATTAATATGTTTCACATCAGCGTTGCAGAGTAAATTAAGTAATGAGTGAGTTATCCTTGGAGCAAATTTAGTTCAGTTGAAAATATGATAATGGCATCCCAAAGTATCCTAAATTCACTCTTCACAACACCAAAAATCTCGAATGAATTAACTCATCTTAAAATTTCGCATTCACGTTACCTTTTCATGTGGGAATTGTGCTTCTGTCTGTCTGTCTTCGTAAACATTAAATAAGTGAGCCCTTACCAATTTTTGTATGAAAATATATATTCTCTCCGTGTTAACAAAAGTAATAAAAAAAACTAGGGGCCATATAAAAAATAAGTACTTTTTTCTCAAGCAGAATTCAAATCTTATTCATAAAGAAAAACACACCAAAATTATTAACCATAATTTAACACTTGTGCTATTTCATTAAAGATTAGGATCTAATCATCGCTTTAAACATGAGTTATTGAAAGTACACTTAATTCCTATAGAAATCAATTCAATAAAAAAGAATTATATTTCCTTATTAAATAAAAATTATATATATATATATATATAAATAAATAAAAAAGCACATTAGTTACCATCATACTTAACCAACTAATAATAATGTTTTTTTAGAATTCTAAAGTAAGAACTTGAATTGCTCTGATGTTGCAATGAGAAATTAGTAAAGTAATTTTACCTAACCAACTAATAAAAATTCATTGTTAATATGACATTTTACTTATTTATTATAAAAATAAAAAAAACTTATCATAAATAATAGTTTATGATTTATAATGGTATAAAATTATACATAACCTATTTTTTATAATCATTTTATAAATTAAAAAACTAAAGAATGTGTTATATAAAAATTGATTAAAAGCATAACCAATTGATGATGTAAATAAATGAAGTTTTAAGATTGTGAAAGTTGTAATGCAGGTAGGATAGTGTGACTCCATGTAGATTTTTGTATTATATGTGATGTGTAGTGTAGGGCATATGGTGGTGTGGTGGGCTTTTCCATCCTTCATCCGTTAAATAATTTATTCGTAATTTGTATGGCAAATGCTCTCACCACATTCATGGAGGGATATATTGCACAACCCCCTCCTACATTTTCATTCATTTTTAACATTTTTTTATTTAGACATAATATTATGCTACTATAAGAATAATGCAGTTTCTGAAGACATGTCAAATGGAAGGGAAAAAAATTAGTTTACACTTTTTCCTTCCCCATGTGGCATCTTTCCCTTACAGGAATTTGCATATTCTACCTTAATCCATTTTAGAATGTGAAAAGAAAAGAAAAATGATTAATCCTATGTTAGAGAATTCTCGACTTTAAGTAATCTTTTTTTTTGGTAAAGTAAGTAATCTATTTCCTTTTGTAGTTTTTGTAGCTTTAAAGATATAGATAGAAAGATTGAGAGTATTTTTAAACTTTTTTCTTATAAAAATATTTTTTAAAATAAAATAAATAACTTTTTATATTTTAAGTGTTTATTGTAAACTTTTTCTTATGTATGACGATTATGTGTATACATAATCGAATATGTAACGATTACATATTAATTTTTTATTTTTAAATAATTAATTATTATTATTATTATTATAATAAATAAATAAGTAAAAATTGAATAACTTATTTTTATATATAATTATTATTTTAAAACACTAATTTCTCTCACCTATTTTTACTTTATCAATCAATTATAAATTCTACTATATTTTTTATCAAATCAATTCTTATTTATTTTATTTCATTCCTTTCAATTTCTCCCCCTCTTCCAAGTAAAATATGAATCTAACTTTGTGTGATCTTGTTATACGAACATGTTCAAACAAGTATGATATCTACCTTATTGAGTCATTTTTCAGTTATTTAATTTCTTCAACTTGATTGCCTTCATTTACAATCCACAATTCTCATGTGAATTCGGGCATCTTATACCTATTTTATTTTTTTATTCAACTACATAAAAACTTTTATGCATTTTCATAGCGTTTTGTTATTCTATTTTTTTTGTAGCATCTTTATTTTCAAACTCCAACCCAACATACAAATTTTGACCAATCAACCAAGTACTTAGTGTGTTTATCTCCAAAATTCCTTAATAATTTGTATGATTCCAATTGATATTAATATATACCGGGTAAATTATCCCAAAATTAACTCCCACCTATTTTGATAAGAATAAATATTAATATTCAAATGTATAATTGTATTTTATTTGCTTTTTTTTTTAATTTTGTTACCTGATATCTTATGTATCTTATTTTATATCTCATTTTTATAAATAAAGATATTATAATGTGTTTTAAGATTAAATATTTTTCTTCTTAGATTAGTATTTTCTTCTGAATTGTTCATACAAGAAGGAGAAGAAAAAGATTTCCAAGAAGAAAAAAAAATTGAGAACATGTATATTCAAAAGATTTGCCGTTGTAAGTTCTAAGTCGTATAGATCACAGTTCGAATAAGTATATAACGCGGACGATGTAAATTTTGTGCATCAAATGATCCTGAGAGAAACATTTAACCAAGTCGTATAAAATGATTTTCCCCCCCAGTTTTCGGTCCTTATTTTGGAGCTCTTTTGAGGGAATTCAGTTCCTGTAAGTTGTGCCATTGAATTTTAGTTACATGAATATTATAAGAATCGGCCAAAGCTCAAACTAGTATATAGCGCAAACAAGCATTTCGGCAATGCAATCTCAGATATTCATTTTTCTTGTGCAATACACAAAATAGCTAATGATTTATAAGTAGTTGAGTCATGAAGCACTCGCATAAAAGACTATCACAATTTTGTCATTTGTGAATGTTTCCTCCCAAAACCCCTCCATTCAAAATATTTTCATATGTAAAAATTTGAGTTCGAGACTTACTGTGTGTATTACAATAGAAAGATTACAGCAAATGATAAATTTGAATGTGATGATCCAAAATGGCTTAGGAAAATAAACACGTCACTTTTGATGCCTTTAAGTAGAAAAAAGAAATACTCAAGGATATTAGAGCTTAATGTAGACACAGGATGACTGATAAATCAAAATAGCAACTGATTTAAATTGAGTTCATACAACTTCTGATCGAGTATTGGAGATTTAGTTTGAGTTTGACCACTCATTCGTCTACTTCTATCTATTTTTTCAAGTCTACCACTTTCTAAATAGATAGAATTACCACACATTCAGAGGGGGAACAGAACTCAGAATATCATTTGAGCTTGCACATGAACCACTCATCAGTCAGAACTCAAACAACTTCTGGCCAGTATCTAGGGAATTTGAAAAAGTGCAGCGCAGTCAGTGCACTTAAATGAAGTTAACGAAAAGAAGGAAACGAATAGAGGCTGCAACAATATCCGTTGCATAAATAAAAATTCAGGATTTCTTTTAAGGTAAAATTTAGGAAGTTGATCTGTACAATAATTGCAATAAAACTGATTAGGAGCTTCTGTTCATAACAAGAGGTAAGAGGTCTATAAATTTGTGATTCACTAGCATTATATATGTAATAGGTAAGAAGAAACGACAAGGGAGCTCCTAGTCATGGCAAAATTTGGATTCCTAATTTGCTATACAAGTATTTACAAACTGTGTCTACCTCCCCTCAAAGGAAGCGCACTAAGAGCAACTGGAATTTGACGTCTCACACTTGATGACCCGGGTATTGTAAGAGCCACAGAAACCACATTTGTGATATAACCAGTGGAAGCGTGAAGTGCCCTTCCGATCACAGTCATGGCAGAGTATGTCCTGCATTGCCATTAAAAAACTGGCTTAACAGACAATGATCTCAAATATTCTTTGCTGTCTAACAAAAATGTCAAAACGCCCTTTCACAAAATCCACATTAGCTTTCGAAAGGAATGAAGTGAAGAGTAACATGCAAATGACACAAAAGTATTCACCTGACAACGGTCCTTATACTCTTCAGGAAGCTCCTCAGCAGCCAATAGGGCATCAAGCATACCAAAGTAAACCTGGTGGGTAGAGAAACAACTAGCATAGTAAGTCGGGTAGCTCTTTGAGCATTTCAATTGACTTGACAGGAATATTCTAATTATATCCCTCATCTTTTCAATGAATTTATTTTTATCAAAGGGAATTATTTATTTTTATGCTCTTAGTTATCTTAAATTACTAATTTTAAAAGTGCAACATCATATGCATGAAATTGTTACAATCAATAAGCGTATACTTCTCAAGTTTTAATTTTTCCAAACTAAGCAAAATCAAGTTTTACATTTAACTAAATTATATGAAAAACTCGATGCAAATTGTCAACACTTCTTTTTTGCCTCACCTTGAGAACTTTGTATAGAAAGATTGCAGAACATTATAAAACAAATGGCCCTGTTTGGTTTTCTTTTGCATATTTTTGTGCAACAATAAATAGTGTTTTTATGGAGAATCATAAATGAGGAGAATAAAGGCATAGTTGAGTTCAAAAGAGAGATTTAATAATGAAAGAAAATCATCTTACTGCCATATCACCCAATGACTTGCTGCAGATTGGACATGTGTAGTGACTACATGTGTATGCCTAACATAATATAACAAAATATAAGATTGAATACACATCTCTTGAGAATAGGTTGCCCCTTGGTTAGGGGATTGAAACCTAAAACCTAAAATAGGAGTGAAATCTAGACCTGGAAGCAAGCAGAATGCATATAGTG